TCCGTGAAACCCACTATTACGAGACGGCACTGTTAGCACTAGCTGAACGTCAACAACTACTTACTGAACTGAAAGAGTTGCAACTCCTTAAAAACAATTTCAAATCTGAACAAGCTCGCTTGACTCAAAGGGCCGAAGCTGCCGAGTTTGTTGCCCAAGGTTTTCAAGTGAAACTTAAAGAAACTGAAAAGCTGGTCCAAAAAGCCAATAATGAGTTTACTACTCTTAAACGGGAAAACGATGAGCTGACTGAAGAGGATAAAATGTTGAAGAAGAATTTCGAAGATTCAGACTTCCGAGTAGCTGAACTGGAACTAAAAGTGGAAACCTTGAAGAAAAACGTGACTTCTTTACAGCAAGCTGCCGAGGACATGGATTCTAAATATGTTGCTTTTGCTCATCAAATTCGTGGTTGGATTGCGGTTCAAGTGAAGTTCTTTCACCCGGAAACTGCTCTTCCTAACTTGGAGAAAATTGATACTTTCAACTTTGTGGATAATGGCCGACTATGCACCCACAATGAAAAAGGATCCATTACCGTGCTTGCCACCTGCCCATCCGAGTACGTGGGAACTACTTCGACTTCCGGCAAGACTACCTCGGAGGGCACCCCAAAAGATGCTTGAAGAAGCAGGATGCCACTTTTATTTTGTACCTATTTTAACTTGTTCTTGAATGACTATCTGTTTTGTAATGACTGTGTATGTTGGATCCTTGATTTCTTGCGGTTTTAATACTTCTCCCATTACTTCATTTACTTCTATATTTTACTTTGATCTGATTTATTCTGGTAACTTGCTGTTGTATAAATTATAACGCAACTCGCTAAAATTTGTTTTTGCCATATTCCATAACACTTATCTTTTTAAAACTCCGAAAATCCATTAACGTTTTTATAAACATGCGATATCCAAAATCAACCTCGCTTCCGAGTAAGAATCAAACGGGTGCCCAAGAGGCCATTGAAGGCGGCCCAAGAGGCCATTGAAGGCGGCAAGGGACTTTTGACCCTGCTTCCGAGTAGGAATTAAACAGGTGCCCAAGAGGCCATTGAAGGCGGCAAGGGACTTTTGACCCTGCTTCCGAGTAGGAATTGAACAGGTGCTCAAGAGGCCATTAAAGGCAGCAAGGGACTTTTGCTCCATCTAGAATATACATCTCTGAAAAGCTTGCTTTATTGAATTCAAAAGTTAACATACGAAACATTCGTCAGCTACCGAACATAATATGATAGAAAACTACTATACGAAACTTAAATCAAAATTTTCCTAACAACAGTAAAGCTTAATCTTCCTAACACAAAATATTACCCAATAACTACACATGCTCGCTTGTCTCCTATTCCTACCAATTTCTGAACTCTTCAACTGAAATACCTTTTGAGCTTGCCCGCGTTCCAATATTGTGGGATAGATTTCCCATCCAAATGCTCTATTTGATAAGCTCCTGTATTAGTGGCACGTTACTCGGTACGGACCTTCCCAATTAGCTGCTAATTTCCCATCTCTTGCATTCTTATTTCCCACATCTGCCCCCCTGAGCACCAAATCTCCTACCTGGAAGGTTCGCTTGACCATTGTTCTATTGTATCTTGTCGCTGCTCGCTGCTTGGATGCCATTTCGACAATTGTTGTTTTGTCTCTTTCTTCCCCCAACAACTACATATCAATCTTCATCAACTCGCTATTCTCTTCTTCTTTATCTTCTAGAACCAATTTCTTTCTCCATGATCGTTCTCCAACCTCTACAGGTAGCATTGCATCAAACCCGTAAGTCATTTTGAACGGTGTTTCTTGAATACTAGACTGCACAGAAGTTCTATATCCCCATAACACACTGTCTAGCTCTTCCACCCAACTTCCTTTGCATGCCTCTACTCTTCTTTTCAACCCGTTTGTCAAGATTTTGTTTGCCGACTCCACTTGCCCATTCATTTGTGGGTGTTCAACTGCTGCAAACTGGTGCTTTATTCCCAAGTCGGCTACTACCTGCCGAAATTTTCTATCTATGAACTGTGTCCCATTAACCGTTATGATTATAGCCAGAATACCAAACCTGCAGACTATTTTCCCAATGAAAAACTTCTGGATTTTCCGAGCAGTAATAGTGGCTACGGGTTCTGCCTCTATCCACTTGGTGAAGTAATCAGCTGCCACTATCAAGTATTTTACTCCTCCGGCTGCTCTGGGAAACGGACCCAAAAGGTCCATTCCCCATTTAAAAAATGGCCATGGAGATGAAATCGTGAACAACTCTTCTGGAGAAGCTTGATATATATTAGAAAACTTCTGACACTGTTCACATCTGCGTATATGTTTTTTAGCATCTTCTCCCATTGTTGGCCAAAAATATCCTGCTCGTATAGCTTTTTTGGCTAACGACTTCCCTCCTAGATGATGTCCATTAATCCTTTCATGTATCTCTTCTAATACATATTCCGTGTTCGATGGAGCTATGCATTTCAGCAAAGGGGAATTTATTCCTCTTCTATACAACTGTCCTTCTATCATGACAAACCAAGTCGCTCTTCTTCTCAGCCGACTTGCTTCCGTTTTTTCCCCTGGCTCCCTTCCTTTTTCCAAATAATCCTTAATTGGACTTCTCCAATCCACTTCTTCAACCATCCACACCACACTCGGAGCTCGAATATTCTGCTGTATAATGGTCCTCAGATTTCCTGAGGCTTTAGTGCTCGCCAACTTTGACAACACATCTGCTCTAACATTATCGTTTCTCCGAATGTGCGCTACTCGGACCTCCTTAAATTCTTTCATCAACTCCTGTACTCGTGCCAAATATTTAATTATAATCTCCCCCCGAGCTTGGTATACTCCACTGATTTGTGAAGTTGCCAATTGGGAATCACTAAACACCTCTAATTGCTCAGCTCCGAGTTCCTTTGCCAAAATCAGCCCAGCAATCATAGCTTCGTACTCAGCTTGATTGTTACTCGTGGGAAACTCCAATGCCAGCGAATGTTCTACGGCCACTCCTTCAGGGTTTTCTATTATAATCCCAACACCACTGCCTCTTTTGTTGGACGAGTCGTCTACAAATAACTTCCACCGAGCATTCCCTGGCTTTTCTCCGGATTGGGTCATCTCTACCACGAAATCGGCTAAAGCTTGTGCTTTGATCGCGTTGCGTGCTTCAAAATGAATGCCAAACTCGGATAATTCTACTGCCCATGCTACCATCCGACCTGCGAGGTCCAGCTTATGTAACATTTGCCTTATTGGCTGATTAGTCCGGACAACTACTTGGTGACATTGGAAATACTGACGAAGCCTCCTTGCTGTAATCAAGGGTGTAAATGCCACTTTTTCCACATGTAGATATCTTGTTTCTGCTCCTTGTAACACCTTGCTTATGAAGTATATGGGTTGATGTTTCCCATCTTTTCCTTCTCGAACGAGCACTGAACTAACTGCCTCCTGTGAAACAGATAAATATAAGTACAACACTTCGCCTGGTTCCGGCTTACAAAGGATTGGCGGCGAAGCCAACATCTCCTTGAAGCGCTGAAATGCTGCTTCACATTCCTCCGTCCATACAAAATTACTTCCCTTTTTTAGAAGTTGAAACAATGGCAATGACACATGTGCCGACTTGGCCAAAAATCTGGACAAAGCTGTGACTCTCCCGTTCAACTTCTGGACTTCTTTTATGTTCTCCGGGCTCTTCATTTCCATCACTGCTCTACACTTGTCCGGGTTAGCTTCAATTCCCCTTTCTGTTAAAAGGAAGCCTAGGAACTTTCCGGCTGGAACTCCGAAAGCGCACTTATTTGGGTTTAAGCGCATATTATGCTTCCTAACCTGCGCAAACACCTCCTGCAAATCATCTAAATGCGTCTTTCCGTCTCCCGACTTCACAATCATATCATCCATGTATACCTCCAACATTCTACCCATCTGTGCCTTGAACACTTTGTTCATCATCCTCATGTACGTTGCCCTTGCGTTTTTTAATCCAAATGGCATGACATTATAGCAATACACTGCATTCTCAGTTATGAACGTTGTTTTTTCCTGATCTTCCTTCCATAACGGTATTTGATTATACCCGGAATATGCATCCATAAATGATAACACTTTATACCCGGACGCGCTGTGGACTAAATGATCAATACTAGGTAATGGAAATGGGTCCTTAGGACAAACTTTATCCAAGTCTGTATAATCTGTACACATTCTCCACTTCCCATCCGGCTTCCTTATCAACACCGGGTTAGCTAACCATGTAGCATATTCTATTTCTCTGATAAACTCTGCTTCCAAATGCTCTTGTGTTTTTTCTTCAATCGCCTTCCTCCTTTCTAAACAGAATCTCCTCTTTTTTTGGGTTACCGGCTTTACACCCGGGGTCATTGCCAAGCGATGACAAGACAATGCCGGATCCATGCCGGGCATATCTGAGGGTTTCCATGCAAATAAATCAGCATTCTTTTTCAACAACCCCTTCAAACTTTCTGCCACCTCAGGTTCCAACCCGGAACCCATCTTCGTACACTGCTGCGGAGATATCCCCAATTGAACTTCTTCCATTGCTCCAGCGGGTTCCGGCCTCTCCTCTTTATCTCTCCTCTTTATCTTCGTCTCGAGGATCCATCCCTACTACCACTTGGTCCGCCTTTATTGTAGCTACTGATCCGTCTTTGGCAACAAATTTCATAGTCAACTGGTCAATTGACAAAAAGATCTTAAACTTCTTCATGAATGGCCGCCCCAAAATAATATTATACGCCGAGCTCAAATCTACTTCTTCATGATGTCCATTAATCCCTTCATGTATCTCTTCTAATACACCTGTTCTTCTTTCTTTTTCCGCCTTAATCTATCATGTTTAGCATATTATGATAACCATAAGTCCACAGCATCTATGCCATTCAAGAAGGTATTTCTCATGTGCATGTACACAAACCCCAAAACAAAAACAGAGGGAAAGCAACAAAGTAAACACAATCCCATATTCCAGGAAGACAAAATCATTTAAAAAAATCAATAATTGAAAATTCAAACACAACAAAAGGCATAAACCCTAGTTTTTACCCTACCAACCCATCCAATTCCTATGTTTCCTCTTACGAACATACCAACGGATGAAGAAGCAATAGCCGATCCACAGCCGAAGGTCTTGAAGCGAGCATCGACGATCTTTCCGGTGTTCTCATCAACCTTAATCTGGAGTTTCATGACGTCGCCACACGCGGGTGCCCCGACCAGACCCGTACCCACCGTCGGGTCGTTCTTGTCGAACGATCCAACATTCCGGGGGTTGTTGTAGTGGTCAACCACCCTCTCGTGGTAGAGCCGCTGCAGAACCCTAACGGCCGGCGGTGGCGCCTCAAACGACGCCGTTCCCACGACTCTCTTTGCGCTTGCGGCGATTCTTTGCATTTTTAATTATCTTTTTTGTGCGGTTCGATCGATGTTTAAAGAAAAAGGAGTGCCAACGAAGAAGAAAATAAATAGTTAAGGCGGTTTTGCTTGGTTACGTGGCGAGCGGAGATTTTTCTAATCTTTTTTTTTTTAATATAGAGATTTTTCTAATCTAAATCCAGGAAGTTAGGAACAATTGAAGACCAATATTCACCAATAAAAGCCCAAATGAGCCGGTTTTGGACAACTCTTTATTGGGCCTAAATAAGTTACGAACTTTTTGACATATTTTATACTGCTGTATTATATATACGGGGAATATTAGTCTCATGTTACATAGGATTAGTTCTCTCATGCTGTAGAGAGAATTCAAATGGGGATTCAAATGGGGTCCTCCATTAAAAAGCAAAAAGAAAAAAAAAAAGTGAGGCTGCGATTTTCGAAGTGAGATAAAATGAGATAATTATATCCTCCGTTGCACGGACACACTTATTTTTTTGAAATTTACGTGTCGGACACGTGTCCGACACGGACACGCTCGGACACGCGGTCAACATTTGAGGACACGTGGTCAACTTTCCGACACGTTCCGACACACGGTCAACATTTGGGGACACGCTCGGACACGTTTTTTTGTTTTTTTATTTATTTTTTTTTTTTTAAATCTTAATTTTATTTTGTTAACTAAATATAAAAGAAATAATTTATAAATAAATTTTTTCTGTTATAAAATTTGACATTAAAAATTAACAAACTACGAAAAATTATTTATATTTATATTTATGTTATGAAATTTAAATATTTAATTGGTTATATGACTTATTATCGACTCTTATATGTATTAAATATAAATCATATTATATATATTAAAAATTTTATTTAATATCAAAACGTGTCCCAACGTGTCCAAATATGACATTTTTTAGAATTAACGTGTCGGCGTGTTGTGTCCCGTGTCCCGTGTCCGTGCATCATAGATTATATCATGTAAAATGAGAGTAGTATTTCTATATATATATATAGGGTTTGGTGTTTGTCATTGTCATTTTAGGAGAGAAATAGACACAAAAAAATAGAAATCCTGAGAGAGAAAAGTAGGTGGTTTTTTTAATTTAAAATTTAAATAAAAAAATTATTTTGTGTCTATCTCTCTTAAAATGACATAATTTTATGTCATTTAAAATGACAAATACTTTTTCCACACACACACACATATATATATATATATATATATATAATCTTGGCATTTTAATTTACTGTTAATATTCATATAGTAGTTCGTCTACTTTCCTGCTTTCCATTTATGCTTTTGTTTACCTTCATTCCCCCCTAACACTTTTGGAACCCACTGGTATCAGAGCCTGATGGGGAAGTAGGAATATATGGATAGATCTAAATTATCTGTTATTTATCTGAGTTTCATGTTAACATTTTAACATGTGTTAGAAGCATGTATGATTGTAGGATGAGAAATGAAAATCTTGAGAACTTGTTCAGCTGTTGTAGTAAGTCTCATATGAAGGGCAGTAAGTCAAATTTGCCGATGTTGAACAAGGGATCAAGAAGATCTCTGACAATCTGTTATTTATTTACATTGAAATCTTAATCTAATGCTCAGTTGATAAAAGTTAATTTACATCTATCTCTGTATTACTATAGAACCAAATGATGGTGATGATATCTGGGAAATACATCTGTTTTATTATCATGTTTAAATCTTTCTCCTCTAAGTTCTCTTTCAAATCATCTCATCCATCTTCTTCTTCAATCCATAAAGATCAAGCTAAAAATCAAACAAAAAATATTTTTAAAGAAGAAATCTCCTTTGAAGATATCAATCAAGATCTGGATAACTAGGAAATTCCCAGAATTCCAACAAATGAATTGTACAAACCCGAAGGAAACTTCTATCGGAAATCTGACTATATCATCAGAACAGTTGAAAGAAATATTCCTTTAAACAATGAATTTGAAGAATTTCAACTCCTTTCAAACTCATCTATACAAACTCATAAACAAAGTTATAACTATCTGCACATCGGATGTGTCCAAGTGGCTATCAAACCCCTTGGAATTGAAGGTCTAAATGCTTATGTTCTTTTATGCCTTCGTGATACAAGGCATAACAAATTTACAGATTCTATACTTGGAACTGTTGAAACAAGCCTAAGCAATGGACCAATCTTTTTCAATTGTTATCCTGATCGTATGGTTAGTTTTCAAGATAGAAACATCTTGGATGTCTTAACATTGAACGTTGAGACAAGTGGTTTGGACATGAAATCCGGATCTATTCCAGCAGCTCTACTTTTTAGGATTCAATATAACGTATTGAATTCTTCGATCTCTAGGGTTCTTAAACCCAAGAAAACTAGGGAAACTACTTTGTTCCTCACTGATATGTCCAGAGCAGATGTCACAGTGCCCAAAACCATCCGTTGGACTGACGTAGTCCTTCCGAAAAAATGGAGACTTGAGAAGGCAACACCTTCTCAACCTAGGGTCACTCCAAACTTTAGAGAAATCAAACAATTCCCAAGTGGTGCTGTTGAAATCACCTTCGACAGAAGAAACTCTTTCAGCTCTGTGAGTTCTTCCAGGTCTGTTCAAACTCAAGATTTTCGTTCTGAAGATTTTCAATCAGCTCTTTCAAGGAGATCTTTCTCTACAATCTCTAAACCTAGTAGGTTCAATCTCCAACTTCAAGGATTGGACACCTCTTATTCTATTCCTAAACCTTCATGAACAAAATATTATCCAATCCCCAAAATCTATTCAATCTCCAACCTATTCCTCTATGCATAATTCTTATGATGTTATCTAAGTTCATTATAGATAAGGAAACCCTTAGGAAAGACTTTAATTCTGAGGATCGGTCTCCTAAAAAAGAATGGTTCTTCCAAAATTATAAGGGAATTAAAGGACAGCTAATTCAAGAAGAATTTTATAACTTTCTTAACAAAGTAAAGTTAAACATTTCTTTCTATGATTGGTTTCAAGCTTATTCTGTTCAACAAAACATTAATTATCCATTCAAAACTCCACAATCTGCAAACGTCTTCATGGTTTGGCGCCTGAAAGAAGGAGAAATCATCAAGTCTGAATTTCCTCCCACAACTTCTTTCCATCTCCCAAATCTTTGTGATTGCAAAAGTAGATATGTTCTTGCTTCACCTTTTAAATCAAAAGATGAAAATGAACAAGTCTCTCCAATGGACTTTAAAAATCTTATTGAACAATCCAATTACACCAACAAATATCTTCAAATCTTGGGTGAAAAACTTAACAAATCTGTTGAACCTTCATCCTCAACATCTTCTAAGATATTAGAAAAACCTTTATTCAAACCTTTCAAAATGTCTGATCAGCTTAAGAAAGAGTTTGCAAAATTAAAACCTACTCAATCTCAGTCTCAGGATGAATTTCTTAAGAAAATTGATGAGAAATTAAGTACTTTAACCATTCCTGATACTCCTCAATATTCTGATCAAGAGACTCAATAGTCTCATAAAATAAACACTAGGTCAACAAAACATGTCAATACTCTGAGTCATTGTGATGAATCTCCTCAGTGAGAAAATAATTCTGAAATTAAAATTAATACCATAACTAGTATTAATATCTGAAGAAACCCTTCCAAACTCTATTATCAAAAAGCAACGGCTCCTGATCTTCTACTTGAAGAAAAGAACACAAGCTTCAAAATTTTCAATGGTAACAACGTCTATGAATGGAACATAGTTGGTCAATCAGAGTATAACATACTCAATACTCTGCACCATATGATTGTGGTTGCAACTACCTATCAAACTTCTCACAACTGTTCTGAAGAAATCATTGTCCATATTATTGTCTCTAGCTTCTCTGGTCAACTCAAAGGTTGGTGGGATAATTATCTTTCTGAAGAAGAAAAAAATTCAGTTCTTAATGCCATTAAGGTTGATCTTGATGGCATTCCAATAACTTCTGATGGAAACACTATTCCTGATTCTGTTAATCAACTAATCTTCACCATTATCTAACATTTCATTGGTGATCCATCTTTATGGAAAGATCGTTCTGCTGAACTCTTATCCAATCTTACATGTAGAACCTTAGCTGACTTTCGTTGGTATAAAGATACGTTCCTTACTAGGGTTTACACTCGTGATGACAGCCAACAACCTTTCTGGAAAGAAAAATTCTTAGCTGGTCTTCCAAAATCTTTAGGAGACAAAGTTAGGGATAAAATTCGTAATCAATCACCAACTGATAATATTCCTTATGAGCAATTAAGTTATGGACAACTAGTTCCTTATATCCAAAAGGTAGCTTTGAAAATCTGTCAAGATGATAAAATCCAACGCGAACTTACAAAAGAAAAGGCACAAAATCGTAAAGATTTAGGATCATTTTGTGAACAATTTGGTCTACCCTGCACTACGAAAACTAAAAAACATAAAAAACAAGAACACAAGCAGGTTAAACCTTTTAGGAATTTTGGTAAGAAACCAAATTACAATAAAAGGTTTAAAAATGAAAATCCTAAGCCAAATACTGAAACGAATAAATCACAGAATACATCCAAACAAATTAAGCTAACGATTTGCTATAGCTGTGGTAAACCTGGTCATATTAGGAAATATTGTAGGCTTAAGAAGAAACTAAATAATTTAAACTTAGATCCATCTATTGAAGAACAAATTAATAATCTTCTAATCCAAACCTCAGAGGAAGAATCTGAAAAGGAATATTCTGAAGACTTAAATCAAATCCAAGAAGATGATTTATCTTCTAGTGAGGATTCACAATCCTCGCAGAAAATTAATGTCCTGACTAAAGAACAAGATCTTTTGTTTGAAGTCATAGATTCAATCAGTGATCCTCAAGAAAAGAAAGCTTACTTAGCAAAGTTAAAATCATCTTTAGTAACCAGTTCTTCTAAATCTAAAGGATTGTTGGTTCCTAATAAGTTCAATCTTAAAGATACTCTTAAAAAACATGAAAAGAGTATTACTGTCAAACCTATAACTGTCCAAGATCTTCAGTATGAGATCAATATTCTCAAAACTGAAGTTAAACAAATCAAA